AAGGGAAGGGGAGACCTCACCAAATTAAGGAGAGGATGGCAAGGGAAAATGGCTAGCACATGGAAGGCACCCAAATATTTGTGGGGTGCAAACCTCAAAGAAGGTGGGGGAAGGCACTCTTCTTTACATGAATTCAGCATGAATTTGGAGGACGGGAGCTTTGCAGAGCAGCTTAAAGGAGAAACAGGGCACTGTAAGACCTGATCTTAACCACCATCTCCCTGCAGAGCAAGCAGTACAATGCGGATGCTTCTTTATGTCACACAGCATCTTATCAGCAAAGCTGAAGTCTGGGTCCATGACTTCAAAGCCAAGGCTCTTAACTATTTTTCCCCAAGTAATGAAAAACAGGGCTACTGTGATATTACTAATCCATATGCGTTTGGAATTGGGTGGTACAGAAAGAAAAGACTTAGTAGCATTATGCTCTCCCATCCTCCAGCTCTGCCCAGGTCATCACAGCCTGCTCAACTCTGAAACAACTTCCTCACTTCCTTTTTTCCCCTCATAGGACAAGGAGTTTTGACATTGTGGAAGGACTAGAAACTCAGTATAACTTACTGGCCAGAGAAGGGTAAACAGTATTTCTGACAGGAAACCGGTGAGAACATGCCTTTCACCAAAAGGAATTCTGCAACCACTTAATTGAGTCTTATAAAATGAGGCCTTCCACGGAGAACACAGACATATACTTTCTTCCCTGTCAGAGTCTACTGTTCGAACCATTTAGGCTAAAATGCCCCATTTCTCAAAGTGACACTTTGCCACAGGATCACATCACTATAAAAGTTTCTCTAACTGTGCTTCAGGCTTTTTTTTTCTAGGAAGGAGTGTGGGGAGAGGATTATTTGCCCTCTTAGATCCAAGGTTAGTACAGAAAAAAAACCAAGCTAACTTGCTTTGAAATGTAAAAGACAGTTGATACCATTTTGTCCCAATCCCCTAGGGACCATCATGAGTCTCCCTGCTCCTCATCCTAGATCCCCTAAGAACAACACATTTTCCAAGATCACAGGACAGCCTGCTCCTCTATGGTATCCTACAAGACAGTCTTCTAAGAAGTAGGGTCAACTCAATCAGAAGCACAGGGGCCTTTTGTAGTTCTCTATAAGGCATCTGACTCCTACACCTCCTTGAGGTCATCAAGTACAGAGGTTTGGTTTTTGGGGTTTTTTTTTCAAAAAAAGAAATTAGTTTGTATCATATCCCAAAATAGGTGCAAGCCACTTCTCCACCTCTGCTACAGACATGTTCTTCCTCAGAGCATAATCCTCAATCTGCAAAAGACAAGAGCACCTTTATTAAACCACGATGCTATGACACTTGAAACTCAAGTTTCCCCAGGTTTTGCCAAGAAACACTGAGTACCTTCCACTTCTCATCTTACTAACAGGGAGACAAATATTTATTGGCTTAGACGCTAGTAGTGTGGTGTATGTGTGTTGGGAAGGGCTAGACTTGGGGTAATGGGCCAAGATTAAATTAAGACATTATCTGAGGTAAATTTTTTCATCCCTCACCCTTCATTTTATTTTCATACCCATTTAAAATAAAAGAGGTTTTAGAGATCCACATAAAACAAGCATCTGGGGCCTGGGGAGATGGCTCAGTAGAATAAGTGCTTCCCTGGCAAGCACAATGGCCTAAGTTCAATCCCCAGTTCCACAAAATAAATAAAAATAAAACAAGCATCTGAAGAAGCCACAAACTTACCTGATCCTTGGAAATTTTCCCCACAGCAAAATATCTGGAATTCAAGTTGGAAAAGTAGAGACCTGAAACTGCTGAAGCAGGGGACATGGCCAAGGACTCTGTCAGCTGAATGCCTAGGGAGAATAGCACAGACACTCACTAGTTGGCATCAATGTGGGGAGGAGGAGGTAGTACTGAGTGGACAATGGTTCAATCAGTGAAGGAAGTAAGGCCATCGAGGTGACACATGACACAGCACAAAAGCTGGGACCAGATGAGTCTAGCAAACTCCTTCCAGATGGAAAAAATCAATTCTGGACATGTGTATCTCCGATATCCCAGTGAGAACAGAACTGGAAAACATCTTTATACTTTCCTCAGTCTGCCAAGATCAGTTCCCAGCCAGAAGAGCTAACCCTGGAGATGAGAGGACCATCTAAAGGTCTCTGGGGCCTATAAAGCTAGAGGGGATAGATAAGTAGTGCCAGTGAAAACACAAGCCCTCCTCAGCACTGAGGAAAATGATACTTTCTCTTGGGACCCTCTAGGCCATGCATTCTAAGTCACTCACTGTATGGACAAGAAAACAGAATCTGTAAGGTGAGGGCTTCACCACAGCACTAAGAGAAATGGGGACCCACACCCAGATCTCCTGGGTCAACTATTCTTTGGCTGACCCAGATCCAACTCAGCCAGTCGCCCATAGGTCCTCACTGAAACTTAGAACTTTGACTTAGCTCTGATATGTCCATGGTTAATTCCACTGAGAACTGAGAACTGAGAACTGAGAACTGAGACTGGACCATCTCAACCATGGTCTATGTAATGTGTGTCAGAACTTGCATCAGACTGGGCAACATAGCCATAAACCATGACCATTCTGCACTGGGCCAAGGGTGCTGAGGTGTTTATCTCAATAGGACATAAGTCACTTTTTCAACTATGAGAATCAGACAATACATAGGAGAGTTACATTAAAGGAAAGCATAACTGTTAATCACAGTGTAGAAAAGAAAAATGCTGAGGGGAAGGCTGGGTGCCCTGCAAGCCTGCTATCCAGACATCAGCTGTGAGCGAGCTCAATCTGAGGCAGGCAGTGTTACCACTAGGATGGAGGCACAAGTGCGATGAAAAGACACTAGTAACAGAGTAACTCAGTAACTTGAGTGACAGGCACAGGGAGGGTAAATCAGGCAGATTTCCATCTGTGATGGGTCAAGTAATTTAAACTCATAAATCTAAAATGGTGCTATAAAAATACAATATAGTAGTACAATATAAAGTATGAGAAAAATTCCTGAAAGAATGTGATGGGGATGATTTCACTATAAACTCTATTTTTAAAAAATCTTCAATGATAGGTGCCATTACATTGATTTAAGAAAAGTCCACTCAGTGAGGAAAACAGATGCTGGCAGCCCACACACCTGTGCACTGCTCAATGCCAGCCAGCTGCCACATGGTGAGCTTCTCAGTGTGGTCAGGCTGGCTGGGGTACCCAGGAGCTGGCCGGATGCCCTCATACCGGAGCCTGCGCAGGTCTGCAACGCCCAGCTGCTCACTGTCACAGTAGGCCCAGAGTTCTTTGCGAACCCTCTCATGGAGCTCCTCTGCGAAGGCCTGGAACACAGAGCAGCGCATGGTTGGCAGAGGTGGGAGCTCAGCATGCTGAGGCTTCCATCCTCGCAACAGAGGTAGGTGGAGCAGCCTTCCTCACCGGAATCACCAGGGCAAATCTGGCATGAGGGGGACAGACTAGGTGCTTGGGTGCTTGCTCTTTCTTTGGCCACTCTGCTGCTGCTCAATGGAAGTGGAGGTTATTATATTTAATGATCTGAAGACCATCCCACAAGTCCCCTACAAAAAGAGCAGAGAGCAGGGCCCAGAGCTGCACTGCCCCAGGCTTGCTGCAGTGAGGAGAGCCCACAGCCTAGGCTGGCCCATCCATGTGTGACAAAGACGAAGAACCAGATAACTACATAGGATAAAGAGCTCTGAAACAGGATTCTGTTTTTCATTTTAGGGTGAAACAACAAGCAAAGGAAAATATCAGACATAAGGCAAAAGGTGGCGACTCTAAGGGTAATAAGCCAGCCAAGCAACACTGGTTTTTCTTTCTCTGAAAAGGGATACATGAAAGCCATCTGGAGATACATGATTTTAAAATATGGATAATAAATGTTAAAGCCAGTGGCCCGGACTCAGGAAGCAAGGACACTGATTCTAACAGCTGATCAGTATTCTGACATCATCATGGGATGCCCACCTCCTAGACTGTGTCTCAGGGTCTGGTCCCTCACCACCATCTTACCTCTGCCAGTCGGTCCCCCAGAGCTTTGACCATGATGCTGCTGTAGTCATCACCATCATCTTCATAGGCTTTGCTTAGCTTTTCCACCCCAAAGCAGGCGACAGCGAACAGGCCTAGGTAGTCGCGGACCCCAGAATGCAGAGGAGCAATGAAGTCTGAGAGGCAGTGGTAAGGGTCTGTGCTGGCAGAGTCCTTCTCAGCCTAAAATCCAATCAACAGCCAGAGAACATGGCACCAGTACACAGTGGAAAACAATCTGGTATCTTCAGTGCATGTGAGCCTCATGGGTCAGGAATGTCTCCCCGTTCACTGCTATATCCCCAGCACTCAGAACAGTGTCTGACACAGTGAGTATTCAATAAATATTTGCTGAACAAATTGCCAGTATGGTTTGAATGCATTTCCCCTTCCCCTTGGGTTCATGTGATGGAGCCTCAATTCCTCAGTGTGGCAAGTATGGGAGGTGAAGCATAGGTATTCGGGTCATAGAGACAAAGCCCTCAGCAATGTACTGATGTCTTTCTCACAGGAACAGGTTATATCACAGGAGTTGAACCCTTGTTCTCTCGTGTGCATCTGTCCTCCCCTTCTTTCTTCTCCATCACATCACACCATAGCACATGGCTGCCTGATCTTGGATATTCCAGAAAGATACATTTCCTTTACAAATTACCCAGTGTACTACTAAGCTCTTCATTGCTGTGACAAGCTATCTCAGAATATCAACTCAGAGGAGAAAACATTTATTTTGGTCATGGTCAGATGGTCCCATTTATTTTAGACCCATGGCAATGCAAAAAGATGGCAGAGTGAAGTGGTGGACAAAAGCTGCCTACCAGATGACACCAGGGAACAGAGAGCGAGAGAACTAGACTGGAGGAAGGGAACCACAGATCATCCCAAGGTCCATTCCCTTCAACCAGACCCTATTCCATTTCCATCACCTCCAAATAATGTCATCAAATTATGATTGATCCACTGATGAAGTTGGATCTCTCATTACCTATTCACTTCCCAAAAGCCCATCAGCAACTAAGCCTTCAACACAATGAGCCTTTCTGCGGTACATTTTGGAGTCAATCAAAACTCTGCCTTAGGTATTCTGTCATAGCAAAAGAAAACAGACTAAGACACAAATGAGATTTTAAAAAAATATGTGACATAACATATATAACCAAGATACTCATAAATTTACTCATTTACACACTGACCAGACATATCCTGAAAGCCTACAGGCACTATGGTAGCTAGGAACTAAACCTTAAACAATTACTTATTTTTAAAAAATACTTTCCTTCAAAACAGGTTTCAATTCAGACTAACAAGTTCTGGTACTATGTGCTAACAGGAATCGTTAAATGTGTACTGTGGTTTATATCTAGCTGTCCCTGGAAAGCTGCTCAAAGGTGGGCTTTTGGGAAGTGACTGGATCACAGGAGAATGATAATCAGCAGTGGATTAGTCCATTGATGAGTTAGGAGCTAAATGTGATGTGGGAGGTGGAGCCTGGTGTCTAAGGAGGTGGGTCCCTAGAGGCAAGGCCTGGAAAGGCATACTCCTCCCCATCTCTCCCCCCTTCACTTGCTGCTTCCTGTCTGCCATGCCCGGAGTGGCTATTCCTCTGCTATGCCCCTCTGGCATGCTGTCCTCTCTGGGAGTGGATTAGACTGTAAAAATGAGTCAACATATACCTCTTCTATGTTGCAAGTGTCAGGTACTGTATCTCAGTGACACAGTTACTAAGACAGTGTATGGTCCCACCCTACGTCAACAGATGCAGTTCAACAAACTGCTGGGGTTAATATCACATGGGCTGTGTGCTGCCCCCCACAGGCACAATGCAGGAAATGGCAGAGGACACCAGGATAGCCTGAAGCCAAAGACTCAGCAGGATTTATTTCTGGGTTCCCTCAGAAGCCTGTAATAGCCTCCACCTTCTGGGCACCTCTCTTATACAACCAATAAATAACTGTTGAGGAGGTAAACAGCTTATAACTAATTACTCACTGATGGTTACTCTATGCCTGCTCTTTGTATAAATCACTAATTTAACTCTCAGCCTTATGAAAAGTGATAACCATCAGCTCCACTTCACAGGCAATACATCTGAGGCACAATTAGCTTGATCAACCAGCTCAGGCTGGACCAGTAGGACCAAAAGGTTGATAGCCACACTCCATAAGTACCAATAACTGATGCTCCTGAATCTATGGCACTGCTTTGCACCAATCAGTTAATCAGTGAGTGGCTACTCACAAGCTTCAGAGCTTCTTGTCGGCCACAACAGCAAGTGCAGGCTGACACCGGGCATACAATCCTAAGAGGCTGCAGGTACGGAATATCTGACCAAAGCATACAGAAATGCCAGTGCTCAGGGACAGCTGGGCATACAGCTTGTTTTTTTCAGTTGCACTCTGCTCATCAACCGTTCTTTGTTAACAGAAGCCAGAGGGAAATACAAAGGTTCCCTGTAGCACAAGACATACAGGTCACAGGCCCCATGGTACTTTAGAATGGACTGTGATCAGAGCATACTCAGAACAGAAGTCTCCCAAAGTAATAAGGCACTGCAGCCAGAATTTTCTAGAGTATACTAGAAGAGAGCATGTCCTTAGAAGTATCTGTCCAAGTAGATAATATAAGTTCATGGTCCAGCTCTCCTTTCTCAGAGCTATTAAAAGGTGAAAGCTGAAAATTCAGAGCATTAAATGCCTTAACCACAGACTGCCCAGACATGAGGACTTTTCAATTTATTCTGGAAGTAAAAAGAGAGTCAAAGAGGATACAAGCCTGGAGTATTAAAGAAACCCCAGCAGAGGTTTCTGACTTTAGTTTTACCAGTGCAAGAAAGGTTCCTGGTTCCCTAGCAAGGAGGAGCTGGAACTTAACATTAGAACCCCCTGCTGTTTCCTACAGTGTCTGAGCCTGAGTGCATAGAGTAAGGAGTCACCGAACCAGAGTGCACACAGCAAGGATGTAGCTTTTCTTGCTTACTTCTCCATGTTTAAAGTTCCAAATCTGGCAATCCCTCCAGATACTATGGTCAAGATATCTGGCCTTATTAATTATATTGTAATTGTTATGGGCAATATTATCACTATTAAATAACTAAAAATAATAGTGTAGCTGAAAGCAATTTACACAAATTATTAAATGTTTAATGATACTAGTGAATTCTGGTCTTACTTTCTGATTGGACAACTACTATTTATTGTCCCAGCTAATGGGACATGAATATGACACATGAATTTTTTTAAGGTGGGGGCATGAGAGGGAGCCATGCAGAGCCCCTTCTCTCGGCACTGAAGTCAGTGCACCAGAAAAGCTGGGCATGCACACAGCAGGAGTCGCCCCCGAAGCAGACATCAGCACCACCTCCATCAGTCTCCCTTTCTCTTGTGTGAAACGAAAACAAACTGCTGGACACCAGAGCTGTGTGGAAGTTTGGTAGAATGCTCTGCCAAGCAGCCCATGACCACTTACCTGTGCAGGAGCATGTTCGGTATTTATTTCATCTGTCCTGCCCGACAGGAGCCCTCGACAACTTACTTAATAACATACACAGACGCAAACCAATGTTGTTACATAAGTTAGCACCCTCTTGCTTTGGCATATGAGAAGACCCAGCAGCAGAGTTCTGGCATCTGGTGCTTAGGCAACGCTCTCGTCCATCCACAGACACACCGTAAACACCTCCTCCTCTGGCGCCCACTGGACACCACACGGGTGCCTTTTCCCCACCCTACTCACAAGTGCCTGGGCTCAGCCTCTAACTGGTCATTCTGGATGAAGCAGAGGAGACACTCATTCACACCTGGGCTGGGCTTAATGCTCCTTGACACTGTGCTCTGGGTTTGTGCCTAAACCCAGAAGCACAGGCAGTGTCCTTGCTGTCCACTCTTACACCTTTCATACCTGCTGCCTCAACCCATAGAAAGTGGCTATGGGCTCCGAGGCCTGGGGCACCACGTCCGCCGCATAAAGGTGGATGTCATCTTGGACACTCTGCGCAGGCCAGAATCCCACCACACCCCTGGCCCGAAGTTTCTTTTCACTAATCAGTATGTTTAGCATGTTCTTGGCATCATCGTACACCTTTTTGGCCTCTTCACCTATTAGGAAAACAATATAAATTCATTTAAAGGTGTTAATAAGTGGCAGAGACTGCTTCCTCTTGACCCCCCACGCCACAAAAAAAAATATATAGTCCCTCGTCAATCATCTTTCTCTCACCAGTCACCCTTCTCCATCCCTCTCAAAGACTGTTGTTTTTGCTGCAGATACAGCATAAGGCATAGAAGGCAGGGTGGTGGCTCCTGAGAGGTGTAGGTCCCCATAGTCTGCTTCCCCCATGTCAAGCCACTTACAGTTTCATTTAATAAAGGCAGATAGCCAAAGCCAGGGCTCCCCACAGCACTGTCAGGCAGAGGGCAAGGATTCCTGGCTCAATGACATACACATCTCCACTGACTTCAGTGACCTCTGGGGACAGGACAGGGAGAGCAGTGAAGCATGGCCCCAAATCCTGCCACGTGGCTTCAGCCCCACCCCTGGGCAGCCTCACTAGCTGCACAGCAGCAGACGGGCTCTGCAATAGCCTCCCCTGGTTTCCCACCTCACCACAGAGCTTCCTTGCTCTCAGTGAGAGCCAGTCCCCCGACCAACTGCTCGCCAACGATGATGCATGAGCAGCGTACTGAGAAGTCCTTGGCCCACCTACCATGCTTCTGGCTATGTGGGTGCTGCCAAATCTAAGCACCTTAACAGAAAGCCCAGGCGCTCTCCAGGAGACTGCAAAGGGGCTGGTCTCTCAGGCTCTTCCTAGCCCTAATCTCAGATTTCTAAAGAGTCCACCTTTCATTTCACTCTGCTCTGACCATTCATCTTATAGACCTGGAAATGGCTTTACACTGCAATCCCATGTTTCTGTGATGGGCCTGGGGGTAAGGTGCGATGTGAGAACTGGGGTAACAATTATCGACTCACCCACTTCTCTAGTTTATCACCCCAGTCTTTCTCCTGCAAGCTCTGGGTACAATGGACTCCTTGCAGTTCCCAACAGACACAGGTATTCTGTGCCATATCATGCTCTGTCTCCTCTGCGTGGAATATGCTTTTCTTTACCACCACCTCATATCCCACGGTCCTCAGTCACTACCATTCAATCTTTGAACACTTCCAATACCAGCCTGTCCAGGAGCCCTTCCCTGACGCCCTGTTTCTGTCTGAGCTCTAGTGCCTCCTCTTGTGTCTGCAGGAGTCCAGCATGCATCCAGTACTATGGGCTGTGCTAACTAGCCAGGAACTAGACAGCAGGGATTAAACTATCTTCTTTTGTTTATCCCTACAGCCCAGTACAGAGCACAGCATGTAACTGATGCCAATAAATATTCACTGAAAGAATGAATAAACAAAAATCCCAAATCCAGTCAACGTAAGACTATCCAGCGTCAAAGCTGAGCAGGTGCCCACAAGGAAGCAGTTACATCCTGCGCAATATGAACAGCCTGCTCATCACCTATTCCTGCCTTCAGAGTCACAACACCACATGTCAAATTTCACACAGGAAGGAGGGAATGAACTAACCTACTGTTTTGTCGTTAAATATCTTGGGAAAGCCTCGATTTGGGTACTTGCCCCGGAGCTGCCAGACATCAAAGAAAGGCTTCCAGTCAATGTAGTGCACAAGCTTCTGCAGGTCATAGTCTTCAAAGACCCGGGTCCCAATAAATGTGGGCTTCACTACAAGAAAGAAAAGCTGTCAAAGCAGAGGCCAGGCTGGGCATAGGCCCTTCTCATGAGGGCATGGCCTGAAAGGCCTCCTCGCTGCTTTGCTGCCTCCTGCCCTGCGCCTTGCTCCTGTCACTGGTAGATGTCTTACAAAGAGAGGAGCCTTAAATCATTGTGAAGGAGTGATTCTGAGCTGAATCTTAAATAAGACTATTATTCCCATATAGTTGTCTGACTATACCACCTTGGAAACTCTTTCCTTCAACCTTCCTTCCCTACCCCGGATGGCCTCCACTTGTACAAATAATAGCAATATAAAAATATAAATTAAAAGCCCCTAATCAAAGATATTCAGGGATTCAGGAATTATGCAAATTTTATGGACATGAAACTAAAATTTGCATCATCCACTGACACATATGCCCAAAGTTTAAGGACAGGCATGGAAACGAAACCCCAAATGTAGTGCTGTGATTACTTCAACAAGGAAGACACACACAGGGGACTACTGCCATGTATGTACTACTGCTTTTTTTGTTGTTGTTTTTTTAAAGTAGGTAGTGGCCTGTTTTTCTTTAGATGTTCATTATGTTATTTACACCTTATGAGTCTGAACACATAATTTAAGTAATACTGAACACCTCACATAAGACTGCCACTGCCAGGCTTTCTGGAATAGTAAGAGCAGTATCAGGTACTGCCCTAACCCAAGTGCCAATGGAGCAAAATTTCAGGGGCTAGATGACCCGTGGGGCTGTGGGAGTGACTAAGAAATCAGAGGACTTTGTGCTCTACCAAATATAAGTGCTCTGGGAGAACACAGTAGTCTCAGGACACCTGCACTCCTGTGACAGGAAAAGTGTAAGTTAAGTGCAGAGGAGAGCCGCAGGAGCCACTCCAACCTGAGCCCAGGATCTCTGTCTTCTCACACTGTGCACAGGGACTCTTCCCTATCTGTTCCTGTTCATCCTCCTACCTCAGAGGACGCTTTCTTCTTTGTAAACGTTATATTAAATCAGTTCGCTTGGTTTTTTAAAAAAGCCTATATAGTTTCCTCAGGAGAGAAACTGAAAAGAAACTACCAAGAGGCTCATGAGTAGAATGTTCTCTTGCCAGGGAGGTGGGGTGATGGAGGACAGACACTACCTTGACCCAGCTTGAAACCCTGGGTCCAAGAGCTGCTTTGGGCTCCACTACCTAAAGCCTTAAGGGAATACCCTCCTTTCTTCCTCTACCCACTTCCTGTAGCTCCTCAAGACAAGGCTGTCCTCAAAACATTTGATGGGGCTAGACATCCCTTAGACAACAGCAGGTCCAAACTACACAGTAACTGCATGCTGGAGTTAAAATGGCTGCTTGGAAAGTGTCTACACTGGGCACTATGTGCCTTTACAGGACTATTTCTAGCAATGTACGCTTTGGTTGCTTAACTAGGTCAAAGACAAGCTTGCCCAAGTGCTATTAGTCCCACTGCACAGTGAAAGATGGAGAGCAAGCTAGACATGACAGAATAAGCCTATAACCCCAGCAACTCAAGAGGTTGAAGTAGGAGGATCACAAGTTCAAAATCAGCCTGGGAAACACAGACTGCATTAAAGAGCAAACAAAAACAAAATAAATGAAGAGTAAGTAATCACAGCATGGACTACACAGTGATTTATGTTTAAGAATTTTCACATATTTTCTTTTATCCCAAAATTTTCCTTAAATAATCCCCTTTTCATCCATCCTTCAACGTGGATGCAAGGCATTCAATTCAAGGTTACCTAATAAGTCAGAAGCCAAGCTGGGATGGCCTCCCAGGGCCCTCAATCTGGTACGCTCCACTATCCACACTAAATGAAGTAGGTGTGAAATTAGAACTGTTCACACCTACATTTCCAATTTAATCTTCTCAACTCTGCCAAGTATGTGCAGAACACAGATATCATGAGAAGTGAAAGCAGACTGGAGACATTACCTTGGAAATACGGATTTAATCAATATATCCCCAGCTCACCCTCAGTTTTGCATTTGTACCTCTCTAAGCCTGCCAAAATATCTTACATATTTTATTCCCTCATGAACACCTATGCTAGGCAAAAAGGCAGCTAGAAACACAAAAAGGAAGAAACCAAAGGAGATGAAAAATGAAGGATCTAAGAATAGAGATAATAAGGTGAATAAGAGCCTGGCTTTGTTGCAGTGTTTTCAAGCAAAGGTTGTATTTTGTTTTTTCAGCTTTTTGAGACAGGCTCTCACTGCGTAGTCCAGGCTGACCTCAAAGTCATGGCTATCCTCCTGCTTTGGTCTCCACAGTGCTGAGATGATGGGCGTGCACCACCATGTCTAGCTTGGAAAGGTATTTTCTATACCACAGCTTCTACTGAGAACCAGAATAAGCTGAAGGAGGCCCACTCAGATACAGTGCGGGAGAAGGAGTACAGGTTGTAAGACAAATCCGAGGTAAATCCCAGCAGCCTATCCAGTTATTACCTGAGACTATTTCCATAAATTAAAGTGGAGAAAATACCCACAATCATTACAGAGATGTTTGAAGGACTCAGTGAGCTAGGGTGGGCTCATCCCAGGGCAGCATCTGATACAGGTTTTCCTTAAATGATTCCCAGTTACTTGCTTGTCAGTTATCAGGGCCACTTATTATACACGGATCAAAGGTCCTAGCTGCTGGTTCATTCTGTAGTCATGTAACTGCAAACATCACAGCAGCACCAACAGTGATCACACCCAGTCTGTCTCCAGACAAAAGCCACACAGACCTGGGGGAGGTTCAGACAGCCAATCAATGTGGAAACCATTTTTTCTGGCTTGACTTAAGGGTATGTATTTCCTCTCCTGTTGAGGAAAAAAATCTATTTAGTCATAAACTCTTAGCACTTCCTCCTCTACTATGAAAATATAACCAAGAGAGATAGCGTAGAATCTTCTTTTTAAAAAATCCTATTAATAAAATCCTTATCATAAAAGCATCCCATATGCTTTTTATCCCATATATGCTTTCCACTGGCACCAGAGATAGTGAAGTATCATAAGTGCCCACTAGCTATAGATGTCACTCAAAGGTCAACTCTGCAGGCCTAACAGTGAATGAGCATGCTGATGCTGTCAGACAGTCTGAGGGCTGGAGCTGCTGGCTGTCACCAACCACCTAAGGACCCAACCACAGAACTCAGGACTTGACAGCTGTGTACACACCTAAGGAGGTAAGAGAAAAGGCACCTGAGGCATCTGGGGCTCTCCAGCATCTAACAACCAATAGCATCTTTTCTTCGTGCTGTGTGTTCTCTGATTTCACATCCCTAACAGCTCCTTAAGCCTTCCTACAAGAGCCTAGGAAGAATTATCTCCATAACTTTAAATGATCATGGAGTTCCAGAACCTACAGACGGACCCTGACACAGGGCTGCTGCACAGCCAGGGTGGCTGTATGTCTTCCTCCACCACACCCTCAGTGAGAACTGTCTTCAATACCTTATCATTTTCCTGCTAAGTCTGAGCTCATGTTTTCATGTTTTCTAGCATAGCACCTAACATCTAGGAGGGACACAGTACATGTTTGGCCAAATATATAAAATTAATTGCAATCTAGTCAAAAGTTATTGTGAACTTAAACACTAAAGAAATACGATTTGAACTAGAAAATAAATTTCTCTGAATGGATCTCAGGCCTTTACCTGCCCCAAAATGGTAAATAAAGTCATATTAAAAACTATGATCTGGCTGGTGAGATAGCTTGGCAGTCTAAGCATCTGTCCGGCAAATACAAGGTCCCGAGTTCAATCCCCAGTACTGCATGCGGTGCCACCCTAGAACCCCAGGCATGCTGTGCTGGCCACCGAAATTGGGCATGGTGGTGCATGCCTGTAGTCCCAGCACTGGGGAGGCTGGGACAGAAGGATCACTACAAGTCTGAGCTACATAATGACACCTTATACCAAAGAAATAACATTTTTCAAAAAAATTAAAAAGCCCCAAAAAACTGTAAGATCACTTCATTGCCCAAATGAGTGAGGACCTATTTCTGTCACTTACCTTAAGAGACTCATAATGGTCCTGTCTAAGATCTTCATATTCCTCCATGATTTCCTCAAAGTACTCATCCTTTAGATTTTCATCTAATAGTTGAGAACACTGAAATGCAAGATAAAGTTCAAAGTTCTCTAACAGTGTCTCTTGTCACTTTGCTGATCTGCTACCTCTTGCATGGTGGGCCGTACAGGGCAAACTTGGTGGACTTGGATGCCATACCCTGCATATGCCAAAGAAAGGCCTGGTCCAGAACTGGTTCCTAGAAATATCCCATGGAATAGCCCATCTGATAATCAATTATCTCAGGGTTCTTGGGCCATCCAGAGAATTTATACTAACATGTCACTTACATGGGGGGGCTTTGGCTCAGGCTTTATCTTTTAGACCTTGGAAGGGTTGAAGACTGGGCTGCTAATGCAAGACCTGTAGGTTTTATGCCAATAACCACTTCCCAATAAAAACCAGATCCAAGGATCAAGCAAGCTTCCTGGTCGGCAATACCTTGTTTACTGACACACACCACTGTGGAATAACAGTACTGTCATATGACTCCACGGAGAGACACACTAGAAGCCTCTGTTTATCACTCCAGATTCCACCCTACATCTTTTGCCATTGCTGATTTTAAGCTGCATATTTTCAAAATAATTAACTGTGATTTTTAAGTATAAAATGGTTCTGAGATCTGTGAGTCCTTCTTGTGACTCAAGGAACCTGACAGTGGTCTTGAAGAACTTAAGACACTGGATTGATACCCTCTTCAATGTTTCCAAGATACTCTGTTCACCTCTCATCACTGACTTCAGGCTCTTAGAATCTGATTACTTTAGAACCTGTCTAGTAACCATGTTTATCTTCCTTACTAGAGCACAGGCCCTTGAGAGTTGTGATCCACCAACTACCAAGACACTGCTTTTGTATTCCTTCCTATGTAATTTTTCATGTCAACTGCTGCACAAAAGGGAATATATTGACATGTTTATAATTTTAAAAACTAAATATTGACACTTTGTATTTTATTTAAAAAGGAAACAAAGCAAGGGAAATCATCAGACTAGTCTCCAGCCACTAAGTATCTGCTGTACCTCTTTAGACTCTTCCAAGAATGTCAGACAGTTGCTAAAGCATGGTCCTATCCCATGTTCATTACTTAGGGCAAAAGACCCTGAGACAATGATCCCAGAAAGTACCAACAATAGGTACCCAAACTATCACTAGACATGTCTAAGTTACAAATGTTGCTATTTCTTTCTTTTTTTTCTTTGTGTAATTTCTTTGTATGTAAGACTAGCTAAGTACAGCACTATACTGCAGTACCAAACTTTGTCCCCTGCCTGGCTCCCAGCAAGGCCCAGGCTGCTGGGCCCTGCAGGACAGAAAAAAGAAAAGGGCCCTACGCTCTTCCAAACGTAGAACTGAGGGCCAAACCCTTTCTCTACCTGTGTAGGGAACAATACACTGGGCAATACCCACCCAGGCTTGGCTCCAAATAGAAAATGCTCAGGGACATTCACAGCATATGTAAATAGCAACAGAACTTTAAAGGGGGCCCACTAGTCACTCAACCATGGACCTGATGTAAGGGCCAATGAAAAACAATCCAAAAATAAAAACATTGTTTCGGAATTGTAGAAATGTAGTTTATTTGAATATTAATCTATGTCAACTGAAAAATTTTAAGTAGAAACTTTATGACTGCAGCTTAATTTTATCCTTTTAAAAACTTTTTAAATATGAATGGAAACAAGTTTAATTTAGCATAGAGTAAGAGTCCTTATGTTCAAATCTCAAACTTGTCAAATGATAGATATATGCTCTCAGCAGTCAGTAGCCCGTTTGTTTTTCTTATGTCCTCATCTCTAAAATGAGGATAATAAAGGCACCTACCTTCTGAGGTCAGTCTAACAATTAACATGTTCCCATTGGCTTGAAACCCTCCAGTGCAACATGTACAACTATCCCATCAGGTGGCTTTGTACCACTTGTGCTACAAATGGATCTAATCACTTTTATATGCCTTTTACTAATAAACTAACAAGCAATGCAATGGGACAATCATGCACATACTACTGATAATTCAAGCCGCCCAGCAGCAAGACACATGCACTATGGCCCCATCATGAACATGTAACCCATGTGAAGCACTTAGTTCAATACGACTATACATTTTCAGTGACAAGTTATACATGTTAAGTTCCATGAAAATAAATTCATAGATCTGAAAGAACTCCTTTGGAAGATTGTTTAGAAAATGTGGAGACCCTAGAGGAAGCTGTACAATGTCACTTAAATCTCACTGATTATCAGGTCCCCCTGAGTAGATTTCCTGTCCTCTAATATATGAGTACATTGGTGGTTCTCAGACTGGGCATTTCTGATGAAAACAAGCAGGATAAAGGATAGAAGGGCCAGTTCAGCTTTTCTCAACCACACCCAGTTTCCAGGTGAAATGTCACTTAAAGACAAGAATTCTGCACCTCAAAACTGGAAGCCAAAGGGCTACATAATCTCTCAGATATCTCCCTAGCTGTTGTATATTATCCAGAATAAAGTACCTGATAGTAAGATTAGATATTAGACTTCACTGAAAAAAGAAAGCAGGGCTAGAAGCAAATTGTGTATTGTGTTCACTACAAACAGAAGCTATTGCTTTGGGTTTATATACCTAGTACTGTTTTTCTGCCTTTAGGTTGGGTCAACTGGCCCGTACTCAGGTGTTCTTCTACCTAGGTCACTTTTTAAATCCACAGTCCGCTTAACTCTGGTAGTGGTCAAGGAAACATCTAGTCACAACTGCAAACTGCACAAATATGTATTGGGAAGGTTCAAGGTGAGATTACTATGATGCCAGCCCCCTCTACTTCTTGGTCTATAAATGTCCTTGAATGCACCAGAATGCTTACAGGATCTCCTTCCGACGGGGCAGGTGCTGTGGTGGCACACCATAAGCCCCAGGCTTTTTGATGTCTCTCAGAAGAATAAATAGATCTTGGGTGACACCCTTAGCTATCAATGCTTCCTTTTTCTCTCCTTTATTCTGAAATAAAATGGAAAGGCTCATACTCACCACCACCACACTCTTGGATGCATCCAAGACATGGATTACAGGTGCACTGTATCTTGGAGCTATTTTAACTGCTGTGTGGGTTCTGGAAAGAAAGGTCAGGAAGAAAAGCACATCCATCAGTAGTGACAACTGCTACACAACTCATGTTCAGAACCATTAGATGGGGTGTGTTTCTAGTGTTTTCCAGAAAAAGATTTCACCTTGCTCATCTATAAACACTGAATTTCAAATTTCCCTTACAAAACCGTGAAAGGAGAATGACTTTTTACCGATCCCAAGATGGGGAAAGCAAGGTGAAACAACATGAATTGATAGACTCAGGCTACAACGAAGCCTGTGATAAAATGAGAAGGACTTAGTCCCCGGCCCTCTGTCAACAAGGAACCAGACCATGCGCTCAGCAGCAGCCTGTGGACTGAGAAGAACCATCCCAGGCCATCTCTCCTCGCTCACTTTCCCTCCTCCAGACGGGGGGAGCAGGCAGCAGGGGACCTGGCGGACCAGAAGCCAAGCAGAGAATAAAAGACATGCTGCCTGGCTGCTGCTCCCTCCTGTGGGAGACATCAACACCCCTTCCCCCAACGCCACCTCCTACTTGTACAAAGGAGCCGCAGACCCAAAATTTAACACAAATAAAAGAGGTAAAAGCAACAAAATATTTTACATTAAGATTGACTCAACTCCAAATCCTTATTTCCAAACTTGAAAATGTTTGTACTGAGAATAATCTTTAGTTCTGAAATAATTCATTAATTCTTAAAATTACCTAATTAACTAACATGCAAAAAAAAAAAAAAAATGCCATCTGGTTACTGGATATTTATACCATCATCACAGGCTACTTCTCTAGTATTTTATTACAGAATGAACCAAATCAAAGTGAGAACTGAAACACACATTAACCCTCCTACACTGCTGAAATGAGACCCAAAGACAGAAGATGCATGGATTGGCCCAATCTGTTCTGAAACGCAGTAGCAGTTCTCACCACAGGACTTCCAGTGTTTCTGCTCATCCCTTCTCTCCAAAGTAGCAGTGCACTTCTGTAAATTTGGTATTTTCATGTTCTTTCCCTCAATTAAAGTGGATTTTCTTTGGAATATTATCCAGAATATGCTACTACATGAGAAATAAACCAGGTAGCAGGACACTTAAGTTTAATGCAATTCCATTTTATTTCATTTTATTTTATTTATTTATTTATTTATTTTTTTTTTTTTTTGGTGGAACGAGGGATTGAACTCAGGCCCTTGTACTTGCCAGGGAAGCACTTATTCTACTGAGCCATTTCCCCGACCCCTGCAATTCCATTTTAAAAAACAAACACACCACCCTCAAACTGCCCAACCAACCAATATAACATCCAAAAATTCTGCACAGAAAACCACAGAGAGATGCTCATCAAGTGGTAGGGCTAAAGTTGGGAAGGGAGAGACTAGATTTTACTTTACACTTTTCCTTTCTCCATCATCTGAGCCACTCCAGTGAGTGTAGATTACTCAACTAATCTTTTAAAAGCTAAAGGGCACCAAACTTAATCCTAGTATTCTGGTAGGCTAAGGCAGGAGGACTGCAACTTCAAGCCCTGCCTGAGCAACTTAGCCACATACTAGGAACCTGATTCAAAATTTTTAAAAAGACTGGGAATGTAGCTCAATGGGAAGACCTTGGATTCAATCCCCAACACCACATTCCCATACCTATACTCTCTAAGAAGCTCTAAAAACACATTCATAACAAGACAGGACACACTTTCTAAGAGGAGCTCCATTTGTGAACAAGAAGCATGAGCTCAGGACTACAGGAGAACCACTCCAGCAGCTGGTGGGGACCAAATGGGGGCGGGGCGGCTGGAGCAGTGAAATGAACTCCAGTGCCTCCTGAGTGTGCATTATACTTATCCTGCTGTGTGCTCAAGGACTGTAATGGTTTGTATCTAGACGTCTTCCCAAGGCCATGGAGTTAGCTCAACATAAAAGCATCTGCCTAGGCAAGCACAAGGACCTGGGTTCAATCTCTAGTACCACAGGCCATGTCAGCCCGCCCCCAAGGCATGCTGAGACGGCCATGGGGAGTGGTGGCACACGCCTGTAACCTCATTGTGTGGAGATTGAAACAGGAGGATCACTACAAGTCCAAGCTGCACAATGAGACCCTGAACCAAAAACATAAAATTAAAACAAATGAATAAGCAAATGTCCCCCAAGAGTCTCTTGTGGTCATAGGTGAGGTTTTTTAGAGGTACCTGGATTTAGAGTGTATGGTGTTGAGATTAAGGATGTGAGGCTGGGATTGACTCAGCTGTGATGATAGGACTAAGGGTGCCCCACCCTGGGTGTCTGGTAGCCTCCATAGAATATAGGACAAAAAGAACAGTTTCTCCATCCCTCTGCCACGCTACCCTGCCGTGGATCCAGCTAATATGAACCAAAACCTCTGTAAACTATGAAATGAAATAAACATTTCCTTCTTTAACTTTGGGTTTTGGGTAGTTTGCATCAGCAATGAGAAAAGTAAGATGACATCTTGAGTTTTTTGTAAGGAGGATGATTTTCAAAAAGTAGAAAGTTTTAAAGAAGTAGCTGCCTCAAAAATTTTAAAGAAGTTGCTGCCTTCAAAACAGCACCACCACATTAAGCTTGATAACCAGAAGCATTAAATTTGAGCTTCCCTAGCAGCTGAGAGTGCTTCTGCTTTCCTTATGTCACTGATCCTATGTACTTCCTTCTAGGCTTCTACTTACGCAAGTTACTCAAGCCTGAAAAGAAGCAGAACATGGGGCTCTCTCCACCCCTCCTGCACACCAAGAGCAGTGAATCCCAAACGCTGCCCCTGCCGAGTCACTCGTGGACATGGAGATCTCACTGTTCCCCTCCCATACTTGCCAAACATTCATGATGTGTTAAACTCACAAGACTTTTTAAAAAGCCTCTGAGTAAGAAAGGAACTCTAAGTGTTCGTATCATACCCTACCCTGGATTTAATTTTAAGGTCTTTTACAGCGTGATCAATGTTTAAAATTTGATGAGAAAGATGAAAGAAAGGGAAAATTAAGATGGAATCATAAGTGAGAGCCACATATAAATTCATCTGGTAAAGTTCTACACACAGGCCTAAATTCTAAGCTTTCCTATGGGCAATGGAAACAGAAAAATAAAAACACATACATGATTTAATGCTTTACTTTATAGCAATTATGGAAAAATACACACACTCAGAAAATTCTGCTATAGTGAATGCCCTTGACATGGTGTATAGATAACACAGTAAGATTTCCGCTAGTTTCTTGTAAAAAACCATCTATCTACATTACAGACTTAGAAATCAGATCACAAAAATTAAAACTGCAATCCAAAGAAATTACAAAAGACATACAAAGTTAGAAGAATCTATTTGCCTATTTATGATAAAAGAAGGCATCTTCCGAGGTCAAGAGATCCAGGTTTCTAACTTCAGTTTTACAAATGATGAAAACAGGTATCTTGTAGTACCTGGAGGATGTGCCTTCCCATTACTAAGTCTTGTTTGATATACCAGGTAGTGACTATTAAGAATCATGGGTGACTCTAATTTTGTCAATGATACATTTGACGAGGTAGTTAGGTTGCTTCTGAATATTTTTTCTTTAATCTGGAGAGTCTTACAATGGACAATTTGGTCAAGTTCAAATACGCATAAGTTTGGAATATTTTGCTGGATTCACACACCTACAATATTTAAATGACAATGGAATACCCATCTCTGACAAAACTAAACAAAAAAGGGGATACAAATGAAGGACCATTTTGTATCTGTATATTCAAAATAGTGAGGATAGATATATATCTACTTTCTCTTAATTCGATGAATAGAAAGACTTGTACTAATAGTGTTTGCAGACAAGATATCATGTCTGTATCTTGTACTATGAATAACTACTATGAAGACAACAATATGCAGTATATTAATTACTGAAGCTGTCCTAACTGGTTTTGAAACTGTCCCACTGCTATTTCTCAATAAAATTATTTTTTTAAAAAATATGCATAAGTAAGGGCCTGAAAGATAACTCAGTGGACTAAGCACCTGCTTAGGCAAGCATGGGGACCAGGGTTCACCGGCACCACATGCTGCTCCAGCCCCGCCCCTGGACACACTGAACTGGCCAATGAATCCAGGTGTGGTGGTGTACACCTGTAATCCCAGCACTGGGGATGCTGAAAACTACAATTCCAAGCCGCATAGAGACCCTATACCAATACAATTTAAAAAATAAACTGCATAAGTGGCAAATTTATCTTGAATTTTTGAGTATAGCATCTTACTCTATAAAAAAATTCTAATTCTGAAGCCACAATCAAATTTACATAACCCATAATATATTGTAACATAGCTACCCTTTTCAATATTCCATTTTACAACTGTGGTCCAGTGGGTTTTGTTTGTATGGTTTTGGTTTTTTCCAGCACTAGGGATTAAACCCAGGGCCTTGCACAGAATACAGCAGTTAAGCGCTCTACCGCTGATCTGTATCGCTAGCCTTTTTAAAACTTTTGAGACCTGTCTCACTGAGTTAGTTATCTAGGCTAGACTCAAGCATGATTGTTCTGCTTTAGCCTGTGTAGCTGGGATTACAAGATTATGGTACTATGCCTGGCTCAAATATTACTTTTAAAGGTCTTCCATTCTGACAATAGTCCAAAGAGCCTCTTATCATTACTGTTGGTTATGAATTAACCAAAATCATGCTCATCAAGAAATCCAGTTATTAACTGAGAACAACCTGCGACGCAGTCAAGGCTTTTATGAAAAACTGAGTTTTCTAATGTGAGCAGCAACACTCAACTATGGACTCTTTCACATATAAAAAGCAATTATTGGATAAAATATACAGAACACTGTAGCTATTTGTGAAAATGATCCATTCAGATTATAAATGTGTAAATTTGGCTCAGCCATGGTCCTCAGTTTTGGCCAAATCACAATACAAACATTGCTATGAAAGTACTGTTTTAGATGTAGCTTTTAATCAGCAAACTTTGAGTAATGCAGCTTATCTTCCAAATGTGGGTTGATTGATCAACAGGCCTTAGGAAAAAAGACCAAGTCCCTCCCTTCTCAACAAGGAAAAAGGAATTCTGCCTGCAGACTGTCTTCCAACTCAAGACTAGAACATTAACTCTTGCCTAGCTCCAGCCTGCACATTTCAGACCTGCCAATCCCCAAAATCACAAAAATGAATTCCTTAAAATAAATCTCTCCAAGGAACTCAGGAGTACTTAAGACCACTACTGTACTTTTACACAAGAAAAATGAACTGCTCAGTATGGGACCACCAGATTCAACACTCCAGCTTGATACTGGTTCTTTATCAAAGTAAACAATGTACCCTACAAAAAATGTTACATAGAAAGTCTAACACCTATAATTAACATTTCTCACAAAATCACCATGATCATAATCCCAGAAAAAAGACCTGACCAACCAAGCAATGGCCATGTGACAATATGTGAACTTTTTTCTTTGCATCTTTTACTCAAGATTAAAGAACAACTCCCCAAAATGATCATTTAGTTTATTTTAGCTAGATAGATTTTCTGTTTCTAAAGTATTACAAGGTCAGAACTTCTTTGAGAAAATTTGTAGTTCTTAGACTCCTGGTTCAAGACAGAGCAGACCATCTTTGTGCTAAAAACACCATTTTCCCACTTAGTCTCATTTCAAGAGTGGTAAAAGCTTATTACAGTTCTCAGGAATTGAATGTCAGGTGAGTAGATTAAGAAAAAGTTAGCTGCAAGCTAAAGGAAGCCCAGAAAAGGCAAGGGTGGAGAATCAGAAGTTTCCTACGTATGCCTCGAAAGTGGTCTGACTCTCGCCCAAGTGAGCACCAGAAAGACCACATAAAGAAGTCAATAAGCATAAGGGCACATGGACAGACAGACAGACAGACACACACACACACACACACACACACACACACTCGCACAAAACAAGCCAAAGCAGGTTTTATCACTGTAAACCCTAGCATTTAAGAAAAAACACAAAAATCCTGGTGCAGTAGTACATGTCTATAACACCAGCTACTCAGGGAACTGAGGCAGAAGCATCACTTGAACCCAGGAGTCCAAGGCCAGCCTGGGCAGCACAGCGATACCTCATCTCATAATGAATGCAAAGGTGAGTAAGTAAAGTGAGCACAGATTCACTGGTAAGACTTACCTTGAAGTGGTTGCTCCTCCAATCAACAGTGGAATCTTTATGGCTAATCTTTCCATTTCCTTAGCAACAAAAATCATTTCATCCAGGGAAGGAGTAATGAGTCCTGACAGGCCAATTATATCTATTATTAAGAAATAGTACAAAAAAAAAAAAAAAAGACAGAAGGAGAATGTGAGAAAAAGAAGTATGAAGACACATTTTTAAAATTTTGTAATAATGACACAAACCTTACATGAAATGTAATTCTGAGACATCTTTTCTATCAGGGAGGGGTTTTAAATAATTGTTTACTTTTGATAGTAAGATTTATAACTTTAAATTGCAATAATGAATTTATTACAACTTTAGGGAGCAATACAACTAAAGGTACCTTTAGTTTATGATATCCCACACTCAAATAATCAGTGTTCAAAAAAACATCAAAAGACAACTACACACAGAAAACCACTGGGTATAAAGGTAGAGCCTACATATGGTCACTCATGCACCTTGCCCACCCTCCGTGCAAAGGCCCACACAGCAGCACCACACAGGAGCTGGCACTGGGCAGGAGGAATGCCTGTCAGACCCCAAGTGGGCTGAGCTTCACTACTAACTGGTGTGCACAGATTCTTAGGGAAGAGACTGAATGAAATGGCCAAGGACAGTTACACAGTACCTGCTTTGTGGTCAAGAGCTGCTTTCAGTATCTTATCGCAGGGTGTCATGACTCCTAAATCAATAACTCTGAGGTACAGAAATGAGACATGAGAAAACTAATAACTCATTAGAGATAAAGCTGAAATGAACAGTTTTCATTTTAGTCATTAAACACTGTTCTAATATAAAGTGCAATCACACTGAAATGCTCAGGGAACACTGATCTTTCCACCACTACAATTATCATTTATTAGGTACTCACCATATACAGGGCACAAGCTAGGCTTTATGTGTATTAAAATGAACAATTCAGCAAGCATGGTGGCACATGCCCAGTCCCAAAGCTAGAAGATGAGGTGAATCATGAGTATGAGCCAGCCTCAGGGCCGGCCACATAGCTTAGCGGACTAAAGTGCCTGCTTAGGCAAGCACAGGGATTGGGATTCGATCCCCCACACCACATGTTGTGCTGGTCCCACCCCAGGGCACACTAAGACAGCGACTGAGACTGGGCATGGTGGCAACACCTGTAATCCCAGCACTTGGGAGGCTGAAAACAGGATCACTACAAGTCTGATCTGTGTAGTAAGACCCTGTACTAAGTACATTAAAAAAAAAAAAAAAAAATGAGTTTGAGGCCAGCCTAGACTGCAGTGAGACCGTATCTCAAAATAAATAAAAACTAAGTGGACAATTAAATGGCTTCTGATTTTTTTTAATATACATAACTTTTCATTTTAACCATTTTTAGGAGTACAGTTCAGTGTACTATAGTTATAATGTACAACTATCAGCACCACTATTTATTTCCCAAACTACTTCAGTATCCCATGCAGAAACACTACAACCACTAGGCAGTAACCCCCTCCCCACTTTCCCTACCTCCCAGCCTCTGGTAACCTCTACTATACTTTCTGTCTATGAATCTGCCCGATCTAGATACAACATTCATCTTCTTGTATCTGCGTATTCCATGTAATACAATGTCTTCAAAGCTGGTTTATGTTTTAGTGTACATGAGAATCTCATTTTTCTTTTAAAGCTGGAAAACATTCCATATGTAGATATATCCCTACTAATGTCTGGATCTGGAACACACACACACACACACACACACACACACACACACACACACAAAATCATGTGTTAACAAGCTTACTTAGCATGACAGCATGACACTGGTGGGAGGTGGTGGCACCTTTAAGAGGCAGAGCCTGTAGAAATCTGCTGGTCTTAACGCTATGCCAGAACCCCTTCCTTCCTCCTGGTCTCCTTTCTCCAGTGCTTTTACCACTGGCCCAAAGAGACTAGGGCCAACCAGCTACCAACTGAAACCTCCAAAACAGTGAGCCAAAATAAACTTTTTCGGGGCTGGGGAGATGGCTCAGTAGGATAAGCACTTGACTGGCAAACGCAAGGATCTGAGTTCAATCCCTGGTTCCGCCAAAAAAAATAAATAAATAAACTTTTTCTCCTTATAAGTTGATTCTTGTATCTGTTATAGAAGCCTCACTAAAACATCACATTTTACTTATTCGTTCATCTACTGGCAGATATCTGGGCTATTTCTACTACGCCAGCATTGTTAATAATTTAACCTTTACAGTAAGTCTCTAACAAGCATGGGCTCTATTTTAATAAGGATACAAACAGCACAGCAATTTGTCTAGCCATATAACTAATTAGCAGCAGACTTGGGATGTGACAACAAAACCTGCTATCCATCTAAGTCAATAAAAATGCAAGGAAAATTCCTCAACTAACACTGTTAAACACAGAAGCCAACGAGAAGGGGAATTAGGAAAAGGCTAGTCCTTACACATGCTTAGCTGAGGCAAAAAAAAAGTTGGTTACTTCAGGCATGGGAGAGAAAGGAAAAGCTGACAATGGGTGCGCATGAGAGGGAAGGCACTCAACTCACTGGGCAGAGAAGGCCTGGAGCACGCTGAGGGAGCACAATAATGTAGAAGGAAGTTTCATTTCTAGAGGGCAGCACTTCCTCTCAAAGAACTTGGAAGGAAAATGTAATGCCTGCCTGCCCGAGGAAATGTTCTGTGTCCTATTTTTCTATTTTAAGTAGAGTATCTATAAGTCAGCCAGCTTTATAATTTAATCTTGTATCTACTAAAAGACATTTAAAAATTACAGCACAGACTTTCATTTACTTTATTATGTCAACAATTCTTAAATAAGTAAAAATAAAAACATTTAATGTCTTAAAACCAAGCTTATGAACATCTACAAGCTATAACATCAGCTGATGACAGTGAGTGGTGGGCATGGACCAGGCAGAAAACTTGTTTCTCGAGATATGTCCTTTATGCTATTATATTCTGAGTTTTTCATATTACTTTTGAGAAAAAGAAAAGTAAAAATAAAGAAGCTAGTGAATATGGAATCCTCAGCAAAAAGCTGGACAGTTTCCAATCAATGATAACTGTGTAACAGATAACCCTACAGGCTGTAACAGGAGTGAGACAGTACTTCGTTGTTTTTGTTTTTGTTTTTTTTTTAACACACTGAAGAAAGTCTACTAACTAGATTTTTTTATTAAACAATGACTACATATATGCTACTGGAAAAAATAACACATGCCTTTTATTTATTTTTTTTTTTTTTAGCACATGCCTTTTAAATCAAGACAAAAAGGTATGCCCTTCAATGGTCATTTTTCAACACTGCGTGTTTTTACAATCCAGTTAAGTGATCAGTATAACAGCAAACATCATCTGGTTCTCTGCTTGGAGCAGTGCTTCTGTCAGGAGCATCTCACCTGATGACTGCTCTCCCACACCCTATGCACTCCCTCTTGCCACTGTCATGACTTCCTGCTTCCCCCACACAGGTCCCCTAGTACCTGATTCTCCTTTCCTCATTCTGAGCCAAGTCCATGTCTACACTCACATATCTACAGTCTTGTATTGAGCCATCTGGGAGGGTAATGAGAATGTAAATAAAAAGCTATGGTAAATGCTTATTTTCCTTTTTTTTTTTTTGGACACACAGGCATGCTAAGGTTGCCAAGACTGACGTTAGGCTCTTTCCACATGAGTTTCCCTAGTAGTTAGGATTATAAGTGTGCTCCATTATGTCTGACTCTACAATTTTCTTTATGAGAGCTCAGAACAGAGCTATGAACATACACATTTAATTTGGGCTTCTAAATTGGGGGGGGGGAGAGAAAGCTACAAGCTACCCTAAATGATTTGGCTATGTCATTTATTACTATTTAAGAACATGAAACTTAGCCTTCCATGCCCGCCCCGCCCTCCAGGGCATGCTGAGACAGCAGTTGGGACTGGATGTGGTGGTGCACACCCGTAATCCCAGCTCTTGGGAGGCTGTAAACAGGCAGATCACTATGAGTCCAATCTGTTAGTGAGACCCTGTACACCCTGTAGATCCTTCCCTAAAATACAAAAAAAAAAAAAAAAAAAAAAAAGGAAAGAAATTTAGAAAATACTACGAGACTTTTCTCTCCAGAAGAAATAAAAAAGGAAAATCAAATTATAGAGAGGCAAGATATGGAATTGACCTAGATGCCTACCAATGGATGAATGGACCAAAAAAAAAAAAAAAAAGTAATACATATACCAGAGGTACAATCAAAAATACGATGAACTTCTTGGCAGTTTGAAATACAAATATATGTTAATGTACTGTTCATGATCTGTGGTTTATGGCACACTTTAAAACACACCTTCTTTCAATCACAGCTCACAACCAATTGTATCAAACAAAATGACACTTGGAATACACTGTTACTAAGGTTCAGTGAGCTGCAAACCTTTCTGTTGGATGACATCAGATTTTCTGATCACAGCTCAGATACATACACACACATGATGGAATTAATATATGTAGCTAGATAAAGGAATTTATATGTATAAATGGAATATATAATGATATATACTCAATTTACTATATGAACATATTATGGAATGTTATTTGGCTATAAAAAAGTGAAATCCTACATTTGTGGCAAAATTGAATTGAAAAACATTAAGTGAAATCAGACACAAAATGATGTTATCTCTCATATGTAGAAGTTTAAGTTGCTCTTAAAGTAGAAAAAGTTATGTATAAGAGTAATTACTAGAGATTGAGACGGGAAGATAAATAGGGATTGGTAGCAAGATACAGTTACCAGTGTTCTACAATACAGTAGGATTAATGCAGTTCACAATAACCTGTTATATATTTTATGAAGAACTAGAAGAAAGGAGCTTAAAGGCTCCAAACAAAGGAATGATAGAAACACTATCCTAATTCGATAATATATATATATATCACTATACCTCATAAATATACACTTTTGACATGTTAATTGAAAATAAAAAGAGGTGAAAAAAATGAAAGAAGGCTGTGCATCTGCATCCATTCAGGGGATTGATATTTGCTATTATTTTGCTTTCTCTGCTAAGGAAGGAAGGTGGCAGGTCGGCTGCCCCTGCAATTGATGCATTCTACCACTAGATGGCAGCGCTCTACCAGTCTATGCACCCAGCCGAGGTTTCCCACCTAAGGGTAAGCAGTGCTAATTTTGTTGTCATTTTAACTTCTTAAAAAAAAAAAAGTAAATTCTCGAAATTCTTTCTTATTCTATTGAGCTACCTCCCCAGCCCTCTTTCTTTAAAATGTAACAAGTACAAAGCCTTCAAAAAAGGTATTCGTGCATATGTGAGGTTCCTAATCGTGATCAACATGCTCTTGACTTAGATACTCAGCCGTTACATACTTTAAAATTGTTTTCATGTTTCAATATACAGTGCTGATTATTAACTCTACTAGGAGGTTACATTAGGAACCACTGGTGTGTGAGGCATTGAGGCACTCCTGTAATCCAAGCACCTGAGGAGGCTGCAAGTTCAAGGACATAAAAAGGGGCTACCAAATAAGTTTAAGGTCAGCCTAAAATAATAACAGACCCTGTCTCAAAAAACAAAAACAAGAACCGCTAATGAAAATATAAATACATCTTATCTAAAGTACCAAGTAAGTTAAATTTTATGCTTACTTGGTACTTTAATTTTAAAATATCTGTTGATAAATCATAATTTTTATAAAATAGTATACTTACCTATTAAGTGGGGGAAAGCCTCATTTGTCTTTTTCTATAGTTATTATTAGAATTACTATTATTAAACTATATTTACATTTAGCTATTATTATATTTAGTACAACTAAAATTAACTTTTTTTTTTTTTTTGCTCAGAATGCCTTCAGGGCAGGTTTGGCTGGCTTGAGTTCTGGGGATTGAACCACAGCAACCTGAGCCTGACTGCTTTGTTGAAGCAGCCACTTAAAGAACTGAGCTAAGGGGCTGGCCTCCTAAAATTAACTTTCTTGTAATCAAATATCTGATCAAGAATATATCTAAGTAGTCTAAATAACTTAAGAGCAATTTAGATTCTCAGTATTCATTATTACAGTTAAAGCTGACTGCAACTCAAAAGAATTATAAAGTAAAACTACACAATACAAAGAGTAGCTTTTAGAGTCAGAAGCCAAGGTGGCCTGCTATTTTTCTAGCCATGTTACCATGAAGAAATCACTAAATTTCTCTAAGCCTCAGTTTTATTATATATAAAATGAGAACTACAATTACTCTGATGCAGGCAGAGCAGGATCAAAGCCATAAAAGAAAGGATAGGGGCCGGGGAGATGGCTCAGTGGAATAAGTGCTTCCCTGGCATGCGCAAGGACCTGAGTTCAATCCCCGGTTCCACCAAAAAAAAAAAAAAAGAAAGAAAGGATAAAAGAAAAGAAAGGAGTCAATAGCAAGCTTATATGAAAGTGCTAACTATATAAAATGTTAAATGACAAGCAAATGTCAGGTTAGTAGTAGACTCTTGAACACATATCCAGGTCTATTCGAATCCTCAAATCTAGAACTATCCCTCCCATAAAACCAAACTATCACTTTTAATCCTCTTTTAATCCTCTTCCTCTGTTCTTCATGAAGTAAAAAACACTTATTTCATGAAATTTACTGCATCAATATTAAAAAGCTAGGAAAAACAAGGATTTGATTCTGCGTGGTTTCTGGACTCACTCTAGCTAGAGATTCACCCAAGCACAGCAGCCCAGCCCAGAGGCGATATTTAGCAAAAATATACATTACTGCATAAAGCCAATCTCCAGGGACCCTGGGCTACTGTTGATGCTAGTAGATTAAAATTAAACTTGTCAATGCAGGAGTCTACGCATTATGAGACACAAGCCAAAGGGGTGCTTACCCCAGTAAAAAATTACACTTCACTTAGGGTTTTGGAGAAACAAAATAAATTTTCATCAGATGATGACTCTGCAGATAGACTTCCTAGGAAGACAAGAAGACCCTCACTATGCAAGACAAAGCAACAAGATATACTGCAGGAAGTCTTGGGTTTAATAGGCAGCATTCATAACTGAATAAGCCCCATAGCAGCACCCTGGAGAAACGCTACAAACCCCTTTGGCTAACTAAAATGCTTTAAACACTGTTTGTATAATCGTTTCAGCTAGTCAGCCAATGATCAAAATAAATAATGGTGAAACAACACCAAGAATAATTTTTATGAAGCTTACCTATAAATCACTTAATTCAAGCGGTTGAACACAGACCATTTAGCCTGATAAATAGCAAACTTGGGATTGAGGACGCATAGCTCAGTGGTAGAGACTGCCTAATATGTATGGGGTCCTGGATAGGATTGCCAGCGCAATTAGAAAAAACGGGAGGGGATTATAGCTTAGCAGCATAGCACCTGCCTGGCAAGTACAAGGTCATGAGTTCAATTCCCAGTAACCACCCCCCCAAAAAAGGACTGAAAATAAGGTTCTTAAAGGAGAAAAGCCAACTAAATCATTTTAGTGTCTTTAATATAGTATATACCTGCTATATAGAAGATCTATAAATTTTTATTAACTGAATTGATTTTTAATTGATGGTAATTAATGCAAACAGAAATCAATGACAGGTGTGAAAAGGTGACACAATGGATTTTAGGAAGCAAACACTTTAT